TACTGTAACGGGGGAGCACCAAACCCCCGGCATTGGGGGAGGCCAGATCTGCGCGTGCCTGTTCCACGTCCGGACATCCGAAAGGGGTCCGACATCCGACGCGAATCGAACGACACCGACGTGGTTCTTCCGTCGGACGTGGTGCGAACGTGGGTGGCGACACTTCCCTTATTCCCCTACTAAGCCACCACCAAGCACCAGTCAAGTCGTTTTGGAAGAATGGCGTGGCCATTCCTGAGCGTCCTGGGTGGTCAGTGTACCCAGTTCACCGGGGGAATCGTCGCTGCGGTATCGAGTCGTTGAACCGACTCGGCGGTTCACCACCGATGGAGGGTGAAAAGGTTGAAGCGACTTTGTCCAAACTAGCAGACCCAGTGCATCCAGGTACCACTAGTAGTAAGGAACCAGGGATTCTAGGTTTATGGCTTTAGTCTTTGGAACCACTGGTTACCAGCTATAGTTACTATAGTGGTAACTGGATGCCCTAGGATAGGCTTCATCTTGGGCTTTCTGACACATACCCCTGAATTTCTGCGGGTCTTAGGGGAGCCAATGGTTCAGTCCGGCGATCCTGTGCGAAGAAGACAAACGTGACATCGAAGAAAGTAAAATCCATCCCAGGTTGCGTAACGGTCTCTGAAGCTGAAAGTGGTGAAAACCATGGGGAAAACACACTTCAAACACCCTCCAGTTCCGTCGAGTCGCTGGCACACTCCGAATCAGTTTCGTGTGAGTGAGTGACTTCACCACCTCTTTTGGTCAGACCGGAGACCGAGTTTGGTCCCAGGCGTCGGGCGATGTCCCGTGACCAGCGACCCAGCCCCTAGCGATGGCCTCCAACCTGATTATTCCAGCGAGTGTGGAGTCCAATGATTTTCCCAGTTTCGCTCGCAAGCGCAAACCGAAGTACCGACATGTACCCACTCGACATCACCAGCACCGACCCCCTCACACCTTGGGCTCGCAACCGTTGCTCCAACCCACGCCTCGCAACACGCAACGCATCGGTTCTTGGCTTTGCGCCCGCCGTACGCGTGAGCACGTGCTGGGGGCTGAAGTGATCGTTGGACGTTGTTGGAGTGGTCGTGGAGGACAGGGCCAATGTGGCTGGCGAAATTGCTCACAGTAGGCGGTCGGAATTCTTTTAAATGGCCACACTCACTTAGATCATGCTCGCTGCAGTTGGGGGGGGTTACACCGTTCTCATTAGGACATTTGGAGTCAAAACAATACCCCCACCCTCCAAAGACCATGATCAACAATGGTTGCCCTGGTTTTGTAGTGTAAAATCCTTAGTAACACAATAATGATCTGGCAAAGACCCTTAAAGCAATTGTTGCAATCCCCAAAAAGACGTCAATGCACCGGGGGCCCGGGGCCCCGGCGATCGATCTGAATGCGAATGAAGCAGCACCCAGAGGCTTCCGTGCAAAGCTCTACTTCCGATCACCTCGAAACGATCGGGAGGTGTGAGAAACCCCGAGAAGCCCTGAACCGACCATGACCGCTTCTTCCGGTGTCCTTTGAGATGATTCGGGCGCGAAGATTTGGGAAGAAAAGGTGGATTTCAAGGACTCTTCAGTCATCGAATGAAGTCACCAACCTCCCACTTTTGAAGACGCTCTAGTGAAAACACGTGAAAGACCAAACACAACATGACCACTTTCCAGAACTGAAAGCAGCGGGTCAAGGACTTTTGAGATACAGGTGCAGTCCTCGAAGAGCCGAAAAGAACTGCTGCCTCAGAACCAACAGGCTTCTCAGACCCCAAAAGAATGAACACAACACAACAGGCTTCTCCTTCGCCTCTTCACCCCCCCAGGCGCCTCGCAGCAACTTCGGCCCCATTCGCCGCCGCGGCGAACACGGCTGCCCCGCCGGCCGCCGGCGCCGGGCGGCGGCGACCTCCGAGCGCAGGCGCGCGGCGTCGCCGTTCACGGCGGCAGCGCCCAGGGCCTAGCGGTGGACTGGGGTGGATGAGGAGGGTCCAGGGTCTGCATCAGAACAGAGAAGTGGGCCTGGGTCAGCATCCCATGAAAATGATTCAACTGCCTAGTTCATCCGGCGACCGATTCCTCAAGTCAAGCCACTGATTTCGTGTTACTGCCAGGCACCGCAAGGGTATCGCAAGGGTACCGCAAGGGTACCGCAAGGGTACCACAGCGTTGAGTTCCCAAGTGGGTCAGAATTTCAGGTTTTGCTACGGGCCTCGAGTTTGATCCAAAAGGTCCTGGGGTGTGCAGCGCTATCTTCTCCAACCATTCCATAGCAATACAGGGCACTTCTTCCATTTTGAGGTATGTTTCATGTGAGAGTGTTGCCGTTCTACACTCTTCGGTGGTTGCCGCACAAAACAGGTTCCGTCATTGATCAAGCCACCTACCATGTTTTCCAGTAGTACGTTTGTCCTGGTTCCCTGCACCAAAACATATCTTCCGCACTCCAGCAGTGACGTCTCTCCCAAACCGTTCAACGTTGGTCACGGTGACCTATTGAACGGGGGGTTCGGTGGCCAAAAAATGAGTATGAGCTTTGAGAGAGAACATGATGTGGTTTACTGTATACTTCAGCTCATTCACTTGGTTTGCCCCACTACTCTAGCTGGATTTTGGTTTCCTGTGTTGGTGCCATCCACATTCAACCCAACGGGTCCTGCATTGAAAATGGCCCTGGAAAAAAAACACCCGTGCTTTGCTGGACTTGATCTTGAAAGAACCCAAAATGCTCTGTTTCTCGCCCACCGACTCGCTGAACGGGCTGATTTGGCTTCCTGCGTCTCCTTTCGAAAGGGTCATCCAAGTATGCGTTTCCCTTCGGTCATCCTCAAGTAAAGCACCAGCATCGAATGGTAAGAAAGAGACTTTCATGGTTGGACTTTTGAATTTCTATCCACCAAAGTAGTCCAAATGGACTTTCACTGCGCACCTCAATAATATAATTTCGTTCAGTTTCACATCTTTTTCACTTCTTTTCCTTCCGCCTCCATGTCTTTTCCGCATGCCCGGCTTCGCCGCAATGGCACACGCCAAGGAAGGAAGTTTACTAGGTGGACATGAGGCAGCGCTTCGCTTCAGCTTCGAGAAACTGAACTGTTCACACCGTTCACCACGAAATCCGACCAGGGGGCTTTGGCCTTCAGGCTGTCCAACAAGAGTTGCTTATATGGAATGTCCTCAATGTATCGAACCATGGGCGAACAAATCTCCTCAGCACCGGGATCACGGCTGCACTCCCAGGCCCCCAGGTTTGCGCCAGCGCCTGTCGGATGCATAAGTCATTGGGTGGAGAAGGTTGGGATGTGGGACGTGGGATATGAGTACATTGGCGACGCTTTAAACGTGACAAGTTCACGCAGAGGTTGGAGACAAGCAACGCAACTTCGCGAGAACCAGCTGCACTGCCCTGGCGGACACCTTCTTTGGTGCATGCATGGCTACGCGCGCCAGAGGCTCAGCCTTATAGAGCCCTCTTCAAGTCAGCCGGGTCCTGCTACCAACTGGCATGTCAAGCATTGTGGAGAGGGTTGAGGTGTGGCCGATATCGCCCCCGGCCAGAACTCAATAAGACTTCCAAATTCAATACACGAAATGTGCAACGTCAGGTATGCCCGGCGCCGAAACTTTACACATGAGATGCTAGGGTGGTCGGAAGCCACATCAACTGGCTCAAATATTGGAGAGTCTTTCATTGCGACCGACTGCCAAGCAGATGTTGATTTGGATCCTATCCTTTTGCACTTGGAAACAAGGAAACGACATACTTTCAGCCAGGGGATTGGTATCAGTATGGGGTTGGTTGGGCCCTGCCGGTTGGTCAGAACTCTAAAAGTAGCTCTCATCCAAATTACACGCACCGAAGTTTTGTCGGACGCAAATTTCTCTGGAGAACAGTGGCCTGCAGCTGGGGCGTGGGCAGCGCCATGCAAAGGCCCTGCATGGCCGCATCTTTCCATCCCGTGGGATTCACATTCGCTGTTGCGCTTTGACGGTATACACCCTAGCTCATCCCTTTAACTGCACGGATGGGGTCGTGGCCCGCCTGTCCGCCTCGTGCTGCACCCGACGAATGAGCGGTGCATCATAGCTACTATTCAAACTCGTAAAATTCCACCGCAATGGGTCCCAGAGTGCCAAAAAAAATCATTGGCAGCGCCCTGCAGACCTCGCCAGACCTGATCTGGGGTAGATGTTCGGGCAGCTGTGTGTTCAGTAGGTTGCCACGAGCAAGCTCTCCCCATCTCACGGACCTTCGACCTCTGCGAGCAGCTTGTTCTTGCTGCCTCCTAAGCTTCCTCGCAGCGTGTCTCGTTGGCATGACCCATAAAATTATCACTGGTCGCTTGACCTGTTTGCTGATCTTCGGGCACGGTCGGCATAGCTGAAGCTGTGCCTTGGTTGGCTGAATAAGCCTCCTCGTCAACTTGTGTCTATGAGTTCATGGATGAGGTATCATCCCTATTTGATGAAGCATTGCAGAGCTGTCTGTGGAGAGCGTCAGGCAAGGCCTTTTGAGGAGCCTTCCTCAAAACCAGAGGGGCTTTGCCTTGAGCCGCCCCTGATGAAGGAGCTTTGCTTTGAGCAACTCCAGCAGCTCCAGAGTCCGCCATGAATGAGCGATCCCAGGCCCCATGCTTTTGAACATTTTTTTGAACGCTTGGCGATCGCTCTAGCCAAAATGGCATACGAGAGGGAAAACTTCGAGCGAGATCGAAAGAGAAAGAAGCATGACTGAACAGTTGCAATGCGAGTGTGTATTCAGGTTCCTACTAACCACCCGATAACCTGGCAACAAAACGGCTCTAGACCAGTAGCCCACACAAAGCAACCGGCGGGCCCTTTTTCGCAACAAGAAACTTAGCCCATTACACCTTGTGTTTGCGCAAAAACTAAGGAATACAGTTGCAGAATTTGCAGATGAAATTTGTGTGAATCCCACTCAAGTCGAAGCTCTCTGCCACCCCTCGGGGGTGAAACCTGTCACTGACGCCAGGACATTGCCGATCAACCTGAACAAATGCGCAGCGAGCGCAGCGACTTCGCGTCGCGCGCGCGAGACGCGACTGACTGGGTTTAGATGGTTTCATGGCACCGCGAGACCAAGCGGTTGACTCACCAAAAACAGACTTGAACTGCCTGGGACATGCCATGCTCGGACAGAACTGTGTCTTTGGACAGCAGTCTAGCAGTCTTCTGATGTGCAATGACACCCACTTCGGACTGGCCGGAAGAGCAGGGAATGTGACGAATGATCTTCAAGTGCCCTGGCTGATACCCACCTGCCAAACTTTGGAGGGTTCATCTTCCAGACCTCAAATCCTTTCTACAGAATTCAAGGAAAAGTAGAAACCATGCACAGTTGCTTCATTCAGACCCCCAAGTGATCGTATCGAGCTTTCACCAATATGAAAAGCCAGGCAAGTCCACCAACATTTAGAGAGCGCAACTGCCAAAGCGGAACTCCAATGCTCTCCTTCCATAATGGCCCATGTCCCGTGTGTCTCCGTCCCCCGCATCCACATACGTAGCCGGCTGTTGCAAGAAAACTCACTGTGAAATCTTTGTTGTCTGACCTTTGTTGTCTGGATGGTCCTCCAAGTCACTTATTGGGGTCAAGTTGGCTGACCTGTTCATGTCCGAATGTCCATATGGGCACCTGCTTGAGCAACTGACTGCTCGAGGCGTTCGGTCTTCTCATGTTTTAGTTCATTCGACGGACCAGATCGCGCGATCTTGGACAAGCCCCATGACATGCCAGATGAAGATTCCAAGGCTCAGTTCAGTCATTGGTTCTTCCCCGAACCCAAAATGCCTCCAACCCACCAACGAACCGAACCATCAAAATTCGCTGGAACATGCTTCGCCGCAAGCCACGCCGCGCGTGTGCCGCCGTCTGCGCGTGTCGCACCGCCGTCTCCCCGGGCCGCCCGGGCTGGGAGAGGCCTCGGCTTCGCTCTGGAACGGAGCTCCGATGGCTCAAACCCCATGCGCCCCCGATGTCGGAGTCTCCGAGTGGAACGCATCAGTCGGACGGAGCCGTCATCAGTCGATGATCGTGAGGTTGGACTGGTGTTTGACCCGTCGAACTCGGACAAGAAGGGACCAAAAAGAGAGAATCCGGATGCAATTGGTTTAACAGGCCATTTCTGCTTGAACAAGCCTTCAAGTGGACAAATTTGTTTGGAACTAGACTATCATCACTACCTACCAGAATTGCATGAGCACCGGGCAAGCTAACCTGGTATGTGGTGAAGCACATGAGTTTAAACGCCAACAAACCGAGAGCCCCCTTCTCCTTTCCGAGAACCTGGGATGACCAAATATTTGGAACTTCTGGGCCCAGAATTTATACATATTGACACGAATATAAATGGTGTCCTTTTCACATTCTGTTTTCACATCCTGTTCATGTCCCTTCCTAAGAATCATATCTGTAACTTTTACGCTGGGAGTCCAAGACTATGTTTAAAAGGGTCTTTAGGGTCTTTAAGTGATCCCTAAAAATAGACTTCCTTTACTTCAGTGGAGCAAAGTATAGTCTATGGTTCATACATTATATACATGTCCAGACGGTACGAAGTTGCAGAACCAGTGTTCAACACAAAGGGCATGTTATTCCCCCTTACACCCCTCCCGCCGACCCTTCCCCAAAAGAAGCCCCAAAACCCCTCGCTCGACCTGAGTCTCCCGAAAAAGGAAAGAAAACCGCTTTCTGTCGACTCTTGGATTCATAGTTCGAGTCGTTCGTCCAAACTCGCTCGCTCGCGTGATGAACGCATAGTTCACTTTGTGCCCCCCCACCGGCGGTGACTCGGGCGCCTCGGTCCTGGAGGGAGGTTTTGATCCCCACGGTCCACAGGTGGAAGATGGAGGAAAAGTGAGACAGTGAGAGTGACCGAAAGTGATACATGAAAGCGTTGTTGGTGGCTGTTGGATTGGTGAGTCTGGTTCTAAACATCCAAAACCGACCCTCTGCTAGGACCAGGAATCATGGAGGTGTTTTTTTGAAGAGAAAGAAAAGAATTAGGTCTCGAGGAGTCGGAGATAAATCGGTCTGGCAGCCCGAGATCTTATGGGTGTTCGTGTTTTCTCCAACAATGGAAAGGGGATATCCCAAAACCTCCAGAATCGTCCAATGGAAACTGACACATCATCCAAACCATGTCCCAAACGACCTCCCTCCCCGAATCTTCGGGTCCGAAGTTCTGGGGGGGCCTCAAAACCCACTCCCTATCGTGTTCCAAAAAAAACTGGATGGCTACCGTAGGGCTCAGTCTTTTCCCGCCGGTCGCAACGGGCCGAATCCCTCTGACTCCTCACCGGTTCCGTGTGTCGACAAACCGGTCCCGAGGTCAATGGGCTCGGGGATCGAGAACTGATTCTTCCAGGAGCCTCGGTCGAACGTCGAGGTCGTTTGGAAAGATGGTTCTCAACTCCAGAAGAAAACCAACACCAATCGGTTGAAAGAAAAAATCGGTTTTGAAGACCTCCCAAAGCTCAGTCTATGCACCCCAAACTTCTGGGAGTCCTTGGTATCGCTATGACCACCTCCTTTCGAATCCAACTGCAATCGTCACTTCTGGTGGCGGGCGACCCCGGCTGTCGGAGTGGCGACGTGGGCCTTTAGACCCATCCGCGACTGTCGGGGCACATCGACGTTGCCTTCCTCCGGAAAAAAGCAGCCAAGGACACATGGAACTGCTGGTAGAAGAGTAGGGAGATGAGTATAAATTATAGATCTGTTGAAAGCAACATCAGGATCAAAGGTTTGAGGTGAACGAAGATGCAAGGCGTGAAATCATCCACACCTTCCACTTCCACGTGATGAAATCGATGAAATCAGGACGGGTGAATCTACATATTTCAATGCCTGGGGGCCCCTAATCCAACATCTCCGGTCTTGGTGGAGATGTCGAAACGTCAAGCATCAAAATTACTCAAAATGGTGGTTGATCTTATGGGGATTAGGAACCTTTGACCACCTAACTTATGGTTGATCTTATGGTGGTTATTGTCGATCTTATTCCGAATTCAGAACCCAGTCAAAGACCATAAAAAGAATAGTCTTTAGGTGACCCGAAAAGGAATACCTCAGTCGGTCAAAAAATTTGCCTTTGGACTTCTAGGGAGAACCTAAGGTGCCCAGCAGGGGCCTTTGGGGATTTCTCTGGCGGTGTTTTACGACTGTCTTGGCATCCACTCCCCCATGCTTCTGGTCATGACTTGTTGAAAAGACCCACCTGTTGCCCGAATCTAGAGTAAGAACGATTGCTTTCAGGAAACAAACCTCGACATTCATCGCAAATCCACTTCATACTTACCCCACTACACTTTAAAACGGCAACAAAACCTCGAAGCATGACAAAGCCAAAGGTGTGGGATTTGTTTTTCCATTTTGAAGTGTTCCACCTTTTGGCTTCCACTTCTGCAGTCAAACGGGTCAAACGGGTGTGACCAGGGCGATCGCCGTATCGACGTGGTGGACGACTGGCAGGAGAGATCCCCACAGCACCAGGTCATGGCTGTGGGTCAATACCTGCAAACACCCGGGTTGACCACCGAAAATAGACAAAATAGACTACTGAGTAGGGAGGTCAACATACCAAGGATTAGGGTTAGGGGTTCGTGTTTTGACCCAGAGCCATATGAGTGATGGACTACATCTCTGCGAACCAACCCCATAAGGGGCCCGACCCAAACCATTCGATTTTGGATCCAATCCACAAGACGGGCCCCATCTTCGTGATCTGCCCTCCACCGTTTGTTTCCCTTCGCACCTTTGTACAGCAGCCAATTGCCCATATCTGGGCAGCCGTAGAAGGCAGCCTCGGGCGTGATCGTTTTCGAGTCCGCGGACCAACTCGGCCTGTGATGGGGAGGCGTGCCCACGCGAAGAAGGGCGAGCGACCACGCGAAGAACCATCACCGGCGTGCCCATCCAGTCCGTACCACGAGCGGACATCACAGCAAGTCGAGCGCGCGAAGTCGAGCTCACGTGTGAAAAGCCCACAGGTGAGAAGCACGCACATGAAAGGCACACGTGCAAGGTACATATGAGGAAAGAGCATGAGACGAGACATACATGAAGACACGCACTCATATATGAGAGCACAAATAAAGGTACACATAAGAGAAACGAACATACTTGTGAGAAGCACACTTACAAGGGCACGCGTAGAAGCGAGCCCAGACATGAGAGCACCTCGACACTCCGACTGCCACGAAGCACTGCATCTGCCACGCAAAATCAAGACTTGAGCCCCTATATCTCGTCTGAGATGAGATGCCCCTCCAAAGATGATTTGAAAGGCAAGTATCCAAAAAGCACCCTCCTCCCTCCGCTACCAGCCCCTACGTAGCAAACGCACCGGTTCCGTGTCTGAGGTCTCCAACCAAGTGTTGTGAGCTCGCACCATCACTGCGGCGTGTGTCAGGCGGACTCGATGCTGTTCGGAAGAAGGAAAACAGATCAAAACCCATTGGGTCTCCAAATGAAATTAATACAAACCCAAATGGAAACAATCAAAATGAGTGACACCAAAAATCGGAACGCAAGACAGCAGAGAACAGCTGCACCCTGTGTTCGCCTTCATCGGGTCCCATCCTTTTACAAGAATATGTTCCGACGGATTCGGTTCGTCAAACATAAACGCTGCGAACATCCATATGAAGCCAATATACCTAGAACCTCGTGGCAATCATTTCCGCCCAACTTCATTTAGGCCGAAAATGCCGCCCGTTTTCACAGAGAACGCCCGTTGCGGCAGCCTCGAGGGTCAAAAGCGCCGAGGCACAATCACATGAATTTGAATGAAAACGCATTTGAGAAAAAAGAAGTTTGCCACCTGACGCTAGTCCCCGGATTGTTTTTTTTGAAACTCATCCCTCACTCCCCTCCAAAAAGGCTGCCATTCCTTTGTCCACCCAACTACTGTATAGTGAGGGGGAATAGGTAGGAATGCCCAAGTAACAGACAAGAACCCACAGAAATCCCTACGAAGCCAGAACGTCTCCTCGTATGGTCGTGAAAGGTCTTGCTTGCGGTTCACTTGTGATCTTGCCAACCACACAGCTGAGATGGGCGCTTGATCTCCCTTGATAGGCCCAAATCGGGTTTCTCGTATGTTCCCGACCTCAAAACATCCTCAAAAAGCCATAGCCACGCATGGCTAGCCACTCTCCTCACACACACCCAATCTCCAGTCTCCGGTCTCCGCCTGTCGAGCAACCCGGTTTGAGCACCTCTCTGCACCAAAAGCTCCACGATCTGCGACCGGTCACGTTGTGAAGAGGCATGGATGGGAGCAGATGTCTCGGCCAAAACGCCCCTTTCTCGAAGATAGGCTGAACAAGTTGTGCACTTCTATATGCATATAAACGTGTATATATAATAAACATATATATATATATACATGTACAGAGAGAGAGAGAGAGATCAGAGTTTTTCGTCTCCAGGTTCGTAAGAGTCCAACGTCCTGCAGAGCAAGGTTCTGCAGAGCTATGAAGCACAAAACAAATTGAAGAGCACAAAGGCCATGAATCACAAATTAACCCTACGAACGTCCAGTCTGACCCAGAATCTGGTCCCCGTAAGAGTAGTGTTTTTGTATGATGAACTCCAGTAGAGTAGGGATGAACAGGGTAAGCCGGAAACTAACGTGACTTCAGTATCAATCGGAACCATTGCTCCATTTCTGCCACGGGTAGGTCCTCACAAACTGGAAAACGCACAACAAAATGGACAAAGTCGAAAGAAATGGCAGGAGTCCGTCCGGACCTGCATGTAGCATTGGCTGCAAAAGACTCAACCTCAGGGCCCTTTGCCAATCAACCCAACCTTCCTTCGGTCATTCAAACACCCAAATAAAAGCAAAGCTCCATTGTCACCATGGACAGTGATGTCACAGCCACCCAGCGACCCAGCGCTTCGAAAGTTCGATCCACCCAAATCTGATCCGAAGCACCCGAGGATCGGAGACGAATTGAATGGGAAACCCGAGCGCTTTCGTTTCTCTTTGACATCGGAAGTTGTTCCGCCTCTTTCGTGCCGAGTGCATCCGAGTGCTCTTCTGGGCACCATGGTTCATTCTGAGAGGGGCGATGCAGTAAGAAAGATTTCATCGGTTCTGCTTTCATCGCAGCTCCTGCCTCCAACCCTCGCGCTCTGGGCGCATCAGTGGCCCTGAAATCTCTGTTGAGGTTTCTTTTTCCAAAACACCCGCTTTTGGCAAAAACAAAACACAAAACACAAAACACAACTTGTGTTTCTGTTGTGAGTTGTGTTTGTTGCTCTTTGTTTCAAATCTGTTCTTTTCACCTGCGGGGACCCACCCGAGGCCGCACGTCACGTCACGTCACAACGGCACCCGCCTCGTAACGACCCGCTTGCGCCGCGCGGAAGAGGGGCGTCTGTTGGAATCGGTCCAGCGCGTCGATCGGATGGCCCTGCAGCGTGGGTGACGCCGCACATCCGAATGAAGGATACGCTACTACCCTCCAAAAAAGAACATGAAAGGACAAGGGAAGGGCCACTACTACCAAACTAGGGGTTTTCCACTTCCATTTATTTTCCAAGTAACTAAGTCGGGGGCTTTCAACTTCATTGTGTGTGTCATGGGCGGTTTTGTCCCACGGGCTGTGGCTCAAGCAGTCCCAAACCCCCTGTGTGAAGGAAAGATAAAGCCAAACCTGTGAGTTCTGGATCTGATCTTATCATTGTGAGCCACGCTCATTCTCTTGAAATTATCTTGTCACATTGATCTGATCTGTTCATAGCTTCATGGATCTTCTCACGTCGGAAAATTATAGTGTCTCCACCGATCATGAATCGACCACGCAACCACGCGACCAATCGACCAGGAGGGTGCAAATGAATGGTGCTTTTGGTGGCTGCAAAAACCAATGGGCTTGCATTTAAAATGACCTGCATTTAAACTGTTACGGGTTCACTTGGCCAAGCCCCCCCCTGGCTTCCTCTGTTGCCGGTTCAGAACTGGCACCGGGCTCTCCCACTTTGTCCAAGAGGAACTCCACCAGGTTTTTGTGCCCATAGTAGGCGGCCTGAAGTTGCGCACCACGTGGACCGGCACCGCGACTCGTGCGCTCCGCGACTCGGGACCGACTGGGCGGCCGAATCATGACGAGATTCGGCACGCGAACCATGTCCACGCGATGTGTTCTCCTACCGGTCACCTTTTGACGTGTTCATGATCGAACGAAGCCACCAGAGTTGATGCTACACTAGGCCAAATCAAGATGTTCGTCACCTTCCTTGACCCAGGACATACTCAAAAGATGAACACAAGTCCCATGTGGTCCAGTCTGACTGAAGCTATGTCGTTCATCTTCCCAGATTGATGTGCAAACCACCTGCCCGGCCCCTCAAACTCGTCGGAGACATGCAGTGTCGGAGGTGGACACGTCGCTCCGGTGTTGCTCCGGCGTAGCTGTCCGCGCGGGTGGGGCAGAAAGGGTTTCAACTCCACTGGGGTTCTGGATCTTGACTCACAACCCATGTTTTGTCCCCAGGATGTCCCAGGTCATATACATTCACATACTGTTCTGGTTCCTAAGCCCTTGCAGTTGTGCCCAGGGCTGAAGTCTCCTTTTCCCAAAGACTTTGGATGGTACTGGTACCCCACTTTCTCGGCCGTGACTGGCCATCTTACCTGCTTGAAGACCACATGGTCATGTGCCCGGCCTCATGCAAGGGCGTTCGGCCTTGATAGTCCGCATAGTCAATCGTAGCACCTGTGGAGGGGCAGCTTATGATAGCTTCAATGTGGAAAGACTGTTCTGAACTTCAAGCACCTTCTGTTTGGTCGGCAAACAATTTAAAGCTCTTTCTGCTGGAGTTTCTCTACATCACATGCTCATGCTTTCCAGCACAGTTTTTTCTGTCCCTGTCAAGCAGGCCTTTCTCCAGTAGAAGCTTCACAATGGGCTCGCAATTCTTCCATGTGGCTTCCTCAGACCAAGTTCACCGAACGCACTGGTTTGATAGATCTGGATGGTGGTGAAAGCAAAGCAAACCTTGGAAACGTCCCAAAAAGACTCCACACCAAGTTCACCAAGTTCGGTAGAAAACCAGCAGCTGCGGCAGGAAAAGGCAGAGTTGGGAGAAGCTGTCGCTCACAGGTGAACCTGGATTCCAGCATAAAAAAAGGCTGTGAAACAGATACTCTCACAAAATCACAACTATATACTACACGTGGTGTTCTCTTCCGAAAAGAATCAGCGGATTCTTGAAATCGCTCCCAGTTTACTGCGAAAACCTCAATCCTTCCATTCTGGAAGTGGCTGACAACCAGGTCAACAACAAAAACGGGGCGTGACCGGGGACGTTCATCTTCACCAGAAAGCCGTGGTAGTGGACTTCGTGCATCTTTATCCACACGCAGAAGAAAATGGTGAAGGGAAATGCCAAGGTCTGACCCATGCATGGTCCCCATTAGACTCACGCCCCACGAGACTCACATCATCTGGAATCATCTCGATCACCAATTCACCAGCTCACCAGGCAGGTCTGAATACCAAGGCCCCGTGGAAATAGAGAAAAAACACGCTTCCGACTTCCGACCCACCATTGAGAACAAGTGTATCGCCTGAATTTCCGAACAACCCTGGATTTTACAGGCCTTTTCACAAGACCAAAAAGCATGTTCATTGGTCTTGAAAACAACGGCCGTTTTTCGTCGGGCGAAGTCCTGTCACACGAGCCACTCGGACGGTCGACCCAGGTGTGGCTGTTTCTCGTTGATTCGGACGGTGCTTCTCGGAAAGGAGAAAAGGAAAGGTGGATCTGTCAAGTTTGCCAACAATGCTCATAAAGGCTCCCTATAACAAACGAACGTTCAATGAGCAACGGAAGGCATGTCTTTTTGGTCCTGGTCTTTTTCCCCCCGTCTATGTACCCCCGTTCGTAGCATCCGAACGCTCCTAGTAGTAAGGCCAGGAGCCCCCGAGCTCCTGGGGGTCCCGGCCCACAAGGCGGAGCGGAAGTAGGGCTTCTCGCAGAAGTCCATCCCTTCATCTTTGCCTCGAACGGCGCTGGTCTCGCACGAGCGCAGCCGTCGTTCCGACGGGACGAAAGGCCGAGGGCCGGTCGGCGTCCGGGGACTGGTGGGCCCAGTTTTGAGATGGATGGGAAAGAGGTCTCTCAAAGCCTTGTAAGACTCTGAAGCCTCTGAAGCTGGGTAGAGGCTCTTTCGAAGCTCTCTAGAAATCTAACTGCCACACCGAAGAAGGGCGGGAAGAAAGAGCTCAACACACCTGGCGATGTTCCACCATACTCTCAAGATGACCCTGACCCTTTTGGCCTCCGGATGGTCTCGGCTCAAGAATAGGCTACCTCCCACTTCCCACCCGCTTGCCCCGCCCAACGGGGTGAATGCAAACATGTGCGCACATTCACGTTCGCTCTGTGAATCCCACATCCCACACGATGGGCCAAAGAGCTGTGTACCGTGGTGTGCCCAACAAAAGCCACTTCACCCGCCCGTCGAAGTCTTCGTGCGTTTGTGTCCACCCTTCTTCGCCAAGCCGAGTCTCCCCGGGTTTCTCCGTTCCGGACGGTTCTCGCGCCACCGAAAGGAACTCTGTGGCGGTTTTTTCGCGCGGTCTCACGTGCCTGGTCCCTGAAAACCCGCCAGGACCAATGACTGGATCAACTGCTTCCCTGCGACGAAGGCTGCGAGAAGAGCAGCAAAGGGCAGCGAAGGCAGTGCCCCTCCCATGTTCTGTCACCAGGTGGGGGGGTTGAGGCTCTTCTATTTGGGCTACAAGAGGCCCACACAGGACTGCTGACTTGCTTTGTTGTTGTTGCAAGCATCCAGAAGTGGATGTATATAGATAGAGCATGATAGACAAGAAGTCAATCCAATATAGCAAGTACCTGGTCTGCTGGGATGGGGGGGCAACGCACTTGGACCATAACTCCGATGCATCACGCGGAGTCATATTCACTCATATTGCAACTGATGCCATGCAATGATGATCTTGGTTTACGCATCCTACTTACTATCTTATAGTATCTTATATCACCTCCAGTTCGATGCCCGGGCCATCCGACCCGACCGAGACCAACGGACGTGTTCGCCCAAAAACCTAAGCACACCACGTGTTCGCCGGCGAAGCTTCCGCCGAAGGGGTAAGATTCAGTATCGAATAGGGAACGCATGGTCGATGTGTGGGCCCCAGGTCATGTGGAAGGTCATGAGTTCCCCTTAGAAGGTCAGTTCAAGACATGTCATTCGCTACCAAAAAAGGAAAGAAAAGGCCACAAAGGTGATGTCACACCGTGCCGCACTGCTTTCAAAAACCCGATATATAGTCAGAAAAATGGCTGCATACTGTAAATGAATTGCTGATACTTTCGTCTGGCTAAGCTAGCTGCAGCTAGCTGTTTGAGACCAATTGCACTTTTACGATACAGGTCAATGATTCAATGATGTAAATGGAGGACATCCTGCACCACTTGGAGCCACTTGGCACCTTTGAATCATGTGGCTTTCCCGGGGGAGCATGCGTTGTCGTGCAGCATTTCTTCCGCCCGTCGATGCGATCCCGCGCGATGCCCATGGGGCATCGATCGGCCACACGAAGTTCTGATCGGCTTGACAACTCGAGAGAGAGGCCAACCGCCAAGCCGGAAACGAAGACCTCCAAAAGGGTGAACGTCATCTACAGATCATCTATATATATATATATATACAATCTACAATCTACCTCCAACCGGAAGGCTGCCAGCCTGCCAGCCCCATGTGTTTTTCCCAACACACACCCACCGGTCAAGCCCAAAGCTGAAAGGATCCGAACCGCTCCCACCGAAGATGCGAAAGAGAAGGTGACCAACCTAATAGCCATGGGCTCCAACCTAGTAGCAATGGTCTCCACCCTAGTAGCGATGCCTCCAACCTAATAGCAAACTATATCGGCCTAATTAATTCTAATTAACTTTAATTCTAATTCGTGATCGAATTCTTGTTGCTACAATAATAGCTTCTTGTTACTAGTAGTACGGCCAGGCCTAGTAGCGTCCTTGCTCCTAGTAGCGATGCCCTTTGCTCCTAGTAGCAAACTAAGTTGGAACCAAAACATCGGCCTTCTTCAACTTTGCCCTTTCGAGCTGCTTGCAATAGCCTCGGTAGGCAACCAGAAACTGCTCGATCAGTCAGGGTGCTCGGAGCAAAAGCAGCATCCGCGTTTGAAAAGTATTATGGGCACTTGCTTGGCACCATTCACGATGAAGACTTGAAATCGAAATCCTCAAGGACAAGTAACAGAAATCATATATGCATATGTATATTTGTTCATTCATACATAAATCTGTATCAGCTAAAAGAGTAGCAACATTTCATTGTCATTATCATGCCCTATTCTAAGTGTTGCTGTTTCTGGTGCGAAAAGATCAGGAGAAAAAAAACTTGCCGATCTCCATGTGTCTCCAGGTGTCTGAATCTCGTGAGGTGTTCTTCGTTCGTATCTGGCCTCTTGTTCATACGAGCAGGGATTTGAACATTGGCTTATACAACTGATCTGCAGGAGGGGAAAAAAAATGACGTGTTTTCTGGCGCAAGAGCGAATGACAGTGTAGATGCGAATGGCAGTCAAAGGTCGGTGAAGACATTGCCCTGAGAAATGGCCAGTCTGAGGAACACGAAAGGCGAGTGGGTCAACTCTGCATCCAGAAAGGACCGCATTCACCTCAGAGTTTGAAAGGATGTCCTGGGGGTTGACAGATTTAGGCGCCACCCGGTACACCAGAGAGGTGTCGTAGATGTCGAAGGCCCCCCCCTTCCTCGAGTCTTAGTCCTTCAATTCTGGACGACCTGTGACTGGCCATCGGTCGTTTGTCCGCGGTCATTGCCACATCCGAAACCTCTACGCACTGACGGCCGCGGACGTTTGCTTCACTCCATACCCCCCGCGTTTGGCTTGAAAGGCACGTCCGCCACCCCCTTCGGCAGTCATCCGCCGATTCGGTACCGCTGCGAGGAACTGCACCGGCTGCGGAATCGCCCTGAATGCCAGACGAACTACAAAACGCTTTTACTAACGCTTGAATACACAACAAAAACCAGGTCAACCCTCTTTTAAATGGTCTTTGAAGGCTGGGAACATCAATTATCATGAACTGAAAACCACATAAAACCACCAAACCAGGCTGTCCTGCCCGGGCGGGACAACCCTCTTAAGCGGCCAGGGCCTCCGGGCTCCTTCTTCTCCCGCACGCCCGCTGGCAGAGTCGCCATGACCGAGCCTAGACGCGCGCCGCTCGGCCGGTCGCGTTGATCCAAAGCGTTGAATCGATCAGAGCGTCTAATTACAAGCTTCTTGTTACTAGTAGTAAGGCACTTGTTACGAACGTAGCGAACATTGTCTCCTACAAGAAGAAGACTACGATCCCCGTCACCACCTCGTCACCGTCACACACCCCACCGCCACTCCTGGCAGTCGAACCGAACTTCCGCGCCGCTGAGCCGAAGAGGCAACGGCGGGTGCAGCACAGGGTGGCACCGTTCGTTTGAAGGCACCGTGGCACGTGTGTCTTCATTCTTCTTTGTTTGGAGAGACCCCCTGGTCCAATAGATAGACTGGTCTAGTTTCCTTCTTCCAGGGGGGTCGAACTGGCAGGTCTCCCTGTTTCCATACACCCCCCCCCCCCCCCCAAAGTGTCACTGTTGCACTCGGACGAAGACATGACATGAAAGCGGAAATAGCCACTCCCTGCCAGCAGGTGATGGGTTCATCGAAGGGTATTTCAGTATTTCATGCACTCCCGGCCATGTCCGATGATCCCACGACATGGATACCGAAGTGATGAACCCGCATGTTGCACCCCAGAAACTGAAAAGTGGAGCACCAAATAAAAAGAACTCAGGATCCAGGAAATCAAATTGTTGGATGAAGAAACGCAAAGAAACCAAGTTGAGAATACCTTAGTCACAGAGACAGGGCAAAGTCCTTATATATCAAAAGACTCCTCGATTGGTTGTAGGCTTCTGATTGAAGTCCCGAAATCCGGTGGACAGCACGTTCGTGCATAAGCACGAGACTGGAAATCCATCGATGGCGTCCAAATGTTAGATGGTTAGAAGATGCAAGACCAATCACGTCACAAGTGTCCAAATCCAAACCAAGCAAGCAAACGTTGTCAATCAGTTGTGTAGGTGCCCACCTGCCAATGTCTTGGCCCTATAGAACAGTGCAACTAAGTCACCTCTCCCTCTTTTTCGGGTGTTTTTAAACCTGCTCCACACCATGCCTGGACCGTCGGCACCGGTGTCGCCGGCGACACCGACACGGACCGTGACACCGGGCGACCGCCTGCGCTTCGGCCATGAGCTCTGCCCAAGTGCTATGCGCACCCCTCGCCACCACCGGGATCGTGGAGCGGCGCGGTGCACGGCGCTGGCGCCGGACATGGAGTGGTCCCCGGAAATACGGACGAGCAACTTCAGCAATGGCCTCCAACCTAGTAGCTTCTAGCTACTAGCAATGGCATCCAACCTACTAGCAATGGCCTCCAACTACCAACTTCAACTTGGTTTGGGACATTCACTTCAAGTGCCCCAAAAGGGATCCCAACTATAGCTAGATTGCGTCTCTGAAAAAGGCACAACAGCACAACACGGTGAGTTCTCCGCGAACTCTGTGCCCAGGCGATTCAAACTCTATGCAAGCCCAGAACCCGGAAGGCCAGAAATCCAGAGTCGATGGCATCTTGGATTTGCTTATATAAGGAATCACAAAGGGGTGGTGTTTAGTCCCTAAGTGAGTGGATCATGGGCACCCCTATCCTCCATTAGGCACCCCTTTGTGACTGCTGGCATAAGGAACTGAAACAGAATCTCCCCCAGAAGAGGATTCAGCCAGTTCAGGGAATGAAAATCACCCAAACGAAACGCAAAAACCCGGGGCATCGTACCTGCGCGCCAATCAGCTCTTACAAAAAAGGCCACATGTCAAAACACAAGCAAAACACCACAACCGCTCCCGCTTTTTCCGGCGTGACGTCTAACGCGCTCCCGTTGTTCTTCCGATCCACTGCGTCCGGTGCCTGGAACTCGTGCAGCTGCGCGGACTGCGAGCGCTCAGGGGCTCCTGGGGACCGATTCCGTCGCCGTCGGTCTTCGGCGTTTTGGGAGACGGTGGAGGTGGGAGCAGCGCCGCACCACCGCTCATAAGTCCAGTCACGACTCAGTTTGACCCCGGGCTGGTAGTGGTGGATAATGACTACCAGGTGGAGTCAAATGAGTGAATACGGAAGTTCTGGGATACAACTACCAAACTATGAATGCTGTTCTGGGCTGTGCTGCTCAGTCAGCCATAGCCCGATGCGGGGCGAGTCAACCGTCCTTCTGTGTGAGCGAAGAGGTGCAGAGAACTGCACCCTTCACTCGCTCGCACACTCTGCACGCTTTCTTCACAAGAAGCGTTTTCAACAAATCACACTCCTCTCTGCCTTTAGGAATACTTCCACATAGCTTTGAGATGCTTAATGCTGCAGGTGAGGATCAACAAGAAAACTAGCCATCATGTTTGTATCTGTTGACAGAACTACCTGAAGATGGCATGAGCTGTGGCTACCAAAACTTGTTCTTCACAATTCCGACTTGTCAATGCCAACAGAACAAACCCACCGGGTACCATAGGGTGCTTGCAGTACTTTGTCTTTATGATCGAACCGGTCTTCTCACTGCCACGAAGACTCGCTCGTGCGCACGCTCCTCGCTGGAAGCACGGCTCCGGGCGCCACACTCGCCTCACCACGTTCGGTGGTGGGTCAGCGCGCCATCACTCCACTTCCGCGCTGTAGAAACAGCATTTGGGTTCGCGAGGGACCTGGTGAAAACACTCCCTGGGATTCGTGGGCACACTTCTCAACCAAACAACCTTGGTTTTACGGATTTGAGACGACCACACCAGGTCAACCAAGCTTTTTGACGGAAGGCGACAAAGGGCACTTCCGCCTCGTCGGGGTCGGAGTTTCGCGACTTGGGGCAGAAACCAGATTCTAAGTTCACTTTGGTTGTGAGTTGAATCACCATTGTGCGAAAAGCTCCTGAGCAACGGAGAACTCTCCTTGCTGGAGGAAGATCATCTTCTCCTCATCCCAGCCAAATTCCGCACACAATCAGTCTATCAGAAAGAGTCTACCACCATCAAAACTCTCTGAAACTTCATGTTCGCCAGTGAAAAGATACCGCCTCCTTCCGGCCAACCCCTGAGATTCTCTTTTCTCCTGTGTTTCCCTTCGGACGAACCCTCGGTCCGTCATCCCCCCCCCAACCTCCGTCAATCTGCCTGGGCCTCGGGACGGGCACTGAGAAAGCGCCAGCGGTCTGTTCTTTTCTTTGGGGGAGGGTGAAGACTAAAAACCAAGGGTGCCTTGGCCCAAAGATACTCAAACCCAGGCACGGCCCCTGCCAGGATGATAGATCCTGAAACAAACGGAGAGGGGGGGGTTCGGAGGTCGCATCTCATGTGAGGGAGCACGGGGTAGGGGTGTCTGTCACACAAAGTGGCCGAGAATTACCTTAAGAAATACATACTCCGGTGGATTCGTCACCTCTGACGGAGCACCCTTGAAACCGGGTCTAAGCTCCCAGAAACGGAACTCAAACCAGGACTGGGCGCCTGGTACCAACGAAAAGGTGTTCTTTCCCCTCGTAGAGACGGCCCACCTCAGTTCGACCCTTGAAAAACACATGTCAGCCTCCCTTTATGTCCCAGCCTCCCTAATAAAAGCAGGTGTCCCACCGGGGGGGGTCCACGAGAAGTCCGACCAGGGCAACCTCTTCCACAACCAGTCCCTCTACGACCAGCTTCTGGGCTCCAGGGACAAAAAGGACGGCAAACCTGCAGGAACCATCGTGTAGCCCTCGCGGATGGGCGATGGCATGGCGGTCCGGTGGCTTGGCAGGTCCGGCGAGGGGGTTTGGACCGGTGGACTGGGTGTTTCTTTTATTGGGTGTTTGTTCCGGATGAAAAGGGGGCGAACGCCTCACCAAATCACGGAAAGCGAAAGGTTCCTTTGGAAGAATTCGAAGGCGATCTCACCAGTAGAGTCGATACGGATTGAATAATAGAAGATGCCGTTGGTCATTGATGTCCTCGCGTTCGATATGGGCTACTGCCGTCGACGTCGGGTAATCCACCCGGTTGCTGCATCTCTTTCGGACAGGGACCCACCAAGAGAACGAAGAGATGACCTGAGTTGACTTCGCCAAACTGGCCACTGGTCGGATCTCAAACTCTGAACTTGATCTTCCTCTTAGCAAGACGACCTCGTAGACCTTCACTCCTCCGGTCGCCCAACGGATCCGAATTGGTCGGTCGCCCAAGTAGCTCCGTCCTCCCGCGGCGTGGCGGGGCGCAGGCGCGGACTGCTGCCAGAGGCCCGGCGCGCCATGCTGAGCGGACGGAGACGAACAGCTCCAGTTCCAATAAAAGATGGAACAAGAGTCGGAACCGCCAAGTCCTGGTGTGGTCGAAACAGATCGGAAACACCCATGGTTCCATGGTTGTTATGGATTCAATCCGTTGCTGGTGGAGATTTTCTAGCGGTCGGGTCGGGGTCAGGTATCGATCGTGGTGGCATCATTCCATGTCATTCCCCCAGGGGGTCCTTTGGTCCCCAGGGTCCTCACACCAGTGAGATTTTGACTTTGGTGCTCTGATTGACCCATCTTTGCACTCTCATTGACCCATCACGATGAAGGTCATTGGCAAACAAGTCAAACCAATTCTGGGAGAAGGGATTGCTGTCTGTGGAAATGGAAGATGAACCCCACGCGAAGCGTGGCAGTGCTATGAATGGAATCCTTGTGGACTATCTCATTTGTATGATTGGAGTATCATGGCACATGATGTACCAGGACCATCCAAGGGGTGTAGCACTGGACTACCCTACACCCCGGCCCTGCACTACTTTGACCCATCGGCATGCTCCAGATACATCAAGATCCTACCTCACCGGCCCCGCAATGGGCCCCGCTGTCTGACTGGCCCTGGCCCTGCCTGGGCTTCAAGTCGTGATCCGACCACGGCCGCGGCTTGAAGGCCGAGCCGGACCTGCGCCCACCGGAGAGTCCGTCACCCCGCACCGCTTCCGAATCGTCCAACGAAATGGAACGCTGAGAGCGTTCAAAAGAGTTGGAGAGAGCTGGGAAGCTTCAACAGGACCTGGTGCCATTTCTTCTGCCCCCAAGAGTTCCTTTCCTTGTCAGTCACGGCCACTTTTTTTGAGGTCGATGAACCCCCACCACTTCTGCTATGGACATGCATGACTAAGCAAGAACCACCCAGCTCCAGTATGTACAATACGATCCTTAGACTGCAGGAGAAACCGGAGATTGCCGAGATTGCCTGACTTGCTTTGTTCATCTTTGTTCAGACCCTGCTCTCCTGCTTTTCTCTCCTGTTCTCGATCAAGTTCCTCCCAAAGCTCGAGCTCTTGCCAGCAATCGTAACCCACACGTGCGGTTTTCCTATGCCCATCAAAGGAAACACCTGTGGCGGGTGGTGGACCTGCCCAAGAAAGCTGCTGGGTGGACCGATTCTTTGGTGAGACCAAAAGCCCAACCAACGACGGAACCCGCAAGCGGCTTGGCATAAGGAACTGGAAAAGGAATCTCCCCCAGAGATTCATCCACAGGGAAAATAACTATTATACCCTAAGCAATACCAGGTAGAAAATGACGACTTTTTCTGTTTGAGCACATTCGAGGTGCACTTCATCGGTTCTCTGTAGTCGTTGGCGCAATCGACCCGCAGCCCACAATCGACCCCCCGGCACAGTGCCTTGTCAAGGAGCCAGCTCTACCTCAAGCTTCTGCGGTTCGGAGTGATCCGGCGAACAGAACGCAGCTCCAGCGAATTGGCGTGGGTGTTTCAAATTGAACTCTGAAATCATATCAATGTCCACTTACCAAACTCCCTCGTCCACTTTCGTCAACGACTCCTCGCCCCTCCCTTGACTCCATGCGCCGAACCGAGCCGAACGCCTCCGTCCCGAACCGACCGAACACGGCCACCGAGGCTTCGGCCGAAGCGTCCGAAGCGTCGAGTCTTCGCGGTGTCACAGGCCATGCTTCGCACGTAGAAGAACTGCACGTCCAGGACTCAGGAACTTCCCCACGGATCCAGTTCGGGGTCGGACCTTCGCCGATCCACGGGTCAGGTCAATCTCTTCGTCCCAAGTCCGGCCGCCCTCGGAAACCGCCCGTGGCACAGTGCGGACCACGGCGCTGCTGAGCAGCACGGGTGGTGGCGGAAGCACCTCCGCCCGGTGGCGCATTGGACTCACTCGTTGATGGGGAACATGAGTTCTGCCCTGAGTGATGGACGCACTCGAGCGTGCCAGGTGGGAAAAGTGGCGGTGCCAGGTGCTTTTAAAAAAATCATACTCCAAGCAGAACCTTCCGGAAGAAAAGGTGCGTCAATTGGGTTCACTGTCGTTGGGGGGCCCTGTCGTTGGATGCGGACGGCCTTGAGTTGAAATGGGCAAGAACTCACAGGAGGTTGTCTTAAAAGAAGTTTATGAATTGAGTTGACCACTTAAAAGGCAGGAACCTTCCCTTGTCGCCACCAAATCCAGCTGGTACTGCCTGTATGGTGCTTTGGCCCTATCATCTTTGATTCGGAAAATATGTTGAAACACTTTTCAGTAGAAGCGTGGAAAGTCAGACCGAAAGCTCTGGGAGTCTGACACTTAAAACAAAACAGCTTCTCATTCATTCATTATATATATATATATATGACATGTATGGTCTAAGACTCTCAGGGAAGTTGTACAGAAGTTGCAGCTCTCTCATGTAACACGCTTTCTCAGAAGACTCGCTCGCAAAGAAATCTCACGCAAGTGAGGAGGTCGGCCTAAGAACATGCCTAGAGATGTTCCGCAAAACCTACTGAGAGTGCTCTCTCAGTTTCTACAGTATCTCATACGCTTGTGCGCATGGGCCACCATCCACATGTTGCAGTTTGATACATCTCTCAGTGTCCATTAAAACAAGATGGCCAAAGCGAATGGCCAAAAGCGGTGTGGGCAAATCTTCTCTCTGCCGCAGGGTCTGAGGTGTTCAACCAACCCAAGTCTCGATCTCCAGGACACTTACAGGATTTCGACCTAGGCGCTTCTTCCATCAGAAGGATCCTGTGGATACTGTGTATAGACTGTACATACTATATAGGTGGTATATATGTCATGTTTGTATAACTAGACTCACTGAACCCACTCGAAACTTGCCCTTGACTTCTTCCTTGAAAGCACACACCAAAAAACCGGCACCCCCCACTAAAGAACGCCCTTCCCTGACCAGCCGCGACGCGGAACTTGCACCAAGACCACTGGGGCTGGGCCAACACCTTTAAGGTCTCAAGGGCCATCGCTACCAGTTTGGAGGCCCTTGCTATTCGGTCGGTTGAAGACCTCAGGGGCCTTGGCTTTCTTCGTTCCCACTTCCTCCACTCCTCCACTCCGCCTCCGCCACGAACCCCTCCGCCCGCGGCGCCACATGGGCGGCCAGTGGCCTGCGGCGTGGTCGGTCGCCGAGCGTGTGGAGCGGTCGGTGCTCCAGAACGGGGGGGTGAACTTGGTTGGGTTGATAAAAGAACTGATTCCCTGGGTTGGTTGGTTGGTTGGGTTGGTTGGTTAAAGAGAAATCAAAAAAAAGATAAATCAAAAAAGAATCCGCCAAAAAAATGTTTCGATGAGTCACCGAGTCTTCTGAGATTCTGGGGTGGCTACGTCCGGCCTGGCGGTGCAACCAAACGTTGGGGGTCGTCATAGTGCTTTTGGCCTACTATCAGTTAACAACAAAAACCGTGGAAGCGATGTCGCAGCAGCATGACACCATGTGGGCTGGCTGCTTTTGGGATCTCACCGACCTAGTGGTTTCGGTATCATCACAGCACATAAAGCCATGGAAAAGGAGAAACCATCTCCTTGGTCCAATCAAATACAAACCTCCCTGCCATCATGGAAGTGGAAACCAAGACTGCACGCTCATGTCTTGCTCGCCTGCGGCCCAACCCCCGAGTTCCGCTCTAGCAACTGGAAACCAAGAAATGCACATAATCTTCCTCTTCCAAATCATCCAAATGCTTTTTGTGCAAGGAACTGAAGGGCACCTGATTTCGGATCCCCTCGAAGTCTGAATGGTCTAAATGGCGGGAGCTGATTTTGGGAACATCCTTAACTTCGGGAAGGTAAAGGTATAGTCCTTCAAGAATCTGGCAACAAGTGTGGGGTCTGAAGCTGGTGGCGGCCCCACTCGTTGCACCCTGGATCAAAGGCTTGGACTTCCAGGGCAGGCATGGACGTCAAAAGTGCCTGGCCCACCTTGATTGGCCCAGTCCTCTTCCTCTTCACCATGGATGCTAGGGATCCGGACACTTGCGCATCAACCTCTTCGCTGTAGGCCTCAAAACACAACAATCTTGAAGAGAAAATCGACCCAGCCGTGTTGAACGGAGGGTGGCAGGCACAGATGTCGGGTGGTGAACGCAAATCAATGGGGGGAGGACCGGCCCTAGTATCATCTAGGTATCTATATCTTTGGTTGAGAAGGTAGCCTTTCTTCCAAACTCTTGGGAGTGGCCAAGTTGCGCACGTTGGAACCGATGTCTTTCGGTTCGGTCCCACAGCGAGCCACAGAGAGAAAGACCATGATGGGGGGATAGGGCGGTGAATGGGGGTGGTCCTGAAGGATCTACGGTATTGTTTGCTTCACCATTCTCATTATCATCAAAGGTATTCTACAATGTGTTTCTCATCATCGTTGTCGTCCTCTTCATCATCATCATCATCATCATCATCATCATCATCATCATCATCTTCTTCTTCTTCTTCTTCTTCTTCTTCTTCTTCTTCTTCTTCTTCTTCTTCTTC